AGTAAAAATAAGCTATCGCGCACCAATCACAACCCGCGATGCGCGTTCGCTCGTCGCTCTGAATTTTTAATAAGATTTCAGCCGTTCTGGCTGAGAATATTGTTAATTTTAAAGTCTTACGTTATATTTAATACACTTTTGGTTTACTATCCTTTGGTCTTCGTAATACCGCTTTATTTAGCCTGAAACAAAATAAGTAAACGCGAATTAGTCGCGTTAGTCAACGCCGACCAATCGGAAGCCGGGGAAGGAGCAGCACGGATCACGAAGAGAGGCCTAAAATTTAATTTGTTAATAACTTTAAAATTCCATTGATTAACATGAAACTGATTTGATCCCTCAGTTCTAAATTAAATTCGTGGCAATCGTGTCGAATTTCAGACCGGTACGAATAATATTTCAATACAAAGAAAATATCCAAATTTGTTATATATATATATAGTATATTAAAAAAATTTATTTAAGTTATATTCTAAAAAAAAAATCGAGCTCCCTTTCTCCCGATTCGTAAGCGCTACCGACTGGCGCCTACATAAACAGGGCGAAAATCAAGCATTTTCTCGTATTACATTCCTAACATGAAATATCGATTTCAATTTGTTCCCTATTTTTTTTTTCGATCCATACGGTAAAAATAAATATTGTTACGAGAAAGAATGATTTGTTTTGCGAAAATGTCGGTTGGAATTGCATTTTTAAATTTATAACCTATATTTTTGCAAAAAAAATTTTTTTTCGCGTAACGATACATTGTGTGTATCGATATGTGCGTATCGCGCATCTACTTCATGTTAGCATATATATCGTGATATATCATTACGTCAGATGTTATATCATCAGGCAGTACAGGTCTGTTCAAAATTCTTCTTGAAACCCTCAAAAATTTTTGCACTTGAAATGAGATAAATATGTATGTTCGAACGTTGAAGAGAAGGAAAGCGAAGGTGCTGAGTGCGAAAAGTGCAAACAACGCGAACAGACCAACGCCCCACGAGAGTGCAGAAGACTTTGTCCTTCTCCTCCTTTATCGGCCACACGGCTGTCAACGTAATTGTAAGTTATTTAAGTAGCTCGTCATCGGTCTGTTTACTTCAATCGACTTCAGTTTCAGTAGACGTTCAACGATATTGACATTAAGTAAGTGAATTTTGCTAATGACTTTCAAATAGGTTCTCGTTAATTCGGCACCTGATAAGGCTATTTCATTACTCGAATTACACTGCCAAGAAAACAGTCCCTTTAATCAACTACATTTTTTGCAACGGAGTCGAGAACGTCCGAACTAGACGAGTACAGAAAGTGTAGTTGAGGAGAATCTCGAACAGAATACTCTCGCAACTAAATTTAAATTCTACTAACGCTATCCAAAGCGTTCCACAACGCTCCAGAGCGTTCCGATCTATAAAAAAAAAGAGAATACTTCTCTTTCTTTTCTTAACGTATAAATAACGAGACAAGATTTCGTTTTCTAATTTGAATTTAACAATTTTAATTTTTTAATTTTTATAGCAGATTCATCGCATCTCATTTTTAACGTCACGTAAAAAATGTGATATCTCTTGAATCCCAAGTTGTTATCGGGCGCGCTGTTCAGTATAAATAGAATTACTATGTTAGAATTATAACTCTGTGTTAGAGTTACGTTAATTTTAATTAATTAGTCTATTTCTTACTACATTTACTCCGTGGTTGAAGGATTGAACGACACGCACGATAATAATTTAACTTGCATTTAAAATGACATAAAAAGTGACATAAAAAGTAAGACGCAATAAACTTTTGATAAAAATAATAAAATTAAAATTACGCACGCTGAACGTTATTATTATATTATTGTTACTAATAAATTAATAAAAAGAAAATCGTTCAACGATATAGATACAACTCCTGTTTAGGGAACCCCGTAAATGTTTAGGTCAAAGTGATATGAACCCTTTACAGAAATATTGTTTCACTAAACAATATTTCTGTTAATTACAGCAGATTAACAATAAATTATATTTTTAATCAATATTCGCAGAACATTTTTTTTTACTGAATAGACGATGACGTCAACGGGAAAAGGTTTCGCGACGATAGCTATCCATGCCGGGCAAAACCCTGATCAATGGAGTCATTGCTCGGTTGTACCACCTTTGGTGATGTCGACTACTTTTAAGCAGGATGATCCAGCACCATCTGGAGTAAGTACTAAAACGTCTGGCTCATCAAAATTCATCAACATATAGTTCCTGGCAATGGCCGCGTTCAGCAAAGAAAGCAGCTTTGCAACAGTTGTGAAATTCTTGAATATGATTGGTTTATACATTTAGATCCAATGAGGAACTAATGGCAAGACCAATCATATTAAAGAATTTTACAACAGTTGCAAAACTGCTTTTTCTGCTGAACGCAGCCATTTACTCCTTGTTATTCAATAAATTAATGTCAATTGTACCTAGCAACAATTGAACTTCTGTAGCTATTAATAAAGTTAAAGTAACATGCAAGCTATGAAAACAGACTATTCTTTTTTATAAATTAATTTATATTATTTTCTGTCGAAAAGTTAAAATAAATAAATAACAGAAAAATTAAGAAATAGATAAACAGATAAACGAAGCAGATGAGAAACGGATAAATGAAACAGAAAAAAAAAAGGTAAATAAAACAGATAAGAAATAGATAAATAAAAAAAGAAAAAGGAATGACGACTTAGGAACTTAATAGCTAAATGAAAGGCGATTTAACAAGCAAAATGCGAGCCAAACGAACAGTTATTGAAGCAAGTATATATTTCTGCATACATACTATAAGCATTTAGTATAATTTTGAAAAATATTGACTTCTTTTTTTATTAACCTGAAACTACCTGATTTTCGCGCGGAAATAGCTCGTTAGGTTTTAATCGGCGGGACAGAGTACGCTCTGCCTCAGAGATTCCCGTCGACGCAGTGGAAGGGTGATATTTCATTTGTGCGTTTTTGTCAAACGACAAATTTTTCAAGCCTGTTGATTGGCTACAAGACAGAGAGGTCCTCGGATCTCTCTATTCCATAGCCAATCAACAGAATTGAAAAATTTGTCGTACGACGAAAACGCACAAATGAAATATCAACCGATGGTATTGTATTTGTCGTACAACAAATATTTTAAGTTTATTGTGTGGCTATAAAATAGAGAGATCCAACTTATCTTTCTTGAAGCCAATCAACAGGCTTGAATTAAACGCTTTGTTGTACGACAAATGTAATACCAGCCTATCACCTTTTCTCACTATTGGAACGACTTCGTCAAAATGCGGGGACGAAATCGGTGAGAGCTGGATCGAAATAAAGTCAAGAGCAGGATAGGAATTTATTAATGCATGCAACACGGATGTTTATACGCCGTTGTTGTTCCCGCTCGATTTGTTCAATCAGCGCAATTTCCACCGATCGACATTACGAACGGGGGAGAATAACAATTCGAAGGTAGAATAACAATTCGATTGCATCTGTTTATCTTATTTTCACTGCCCAGAATCCTTTAAAAAGAATAGTAAAAGCTTTATTCTTTTGAATATAAATTAAAAATACTTTAAAGTACTATTTGATTAAAAATAGTACTTGTGTTACATGCTATTTTTTAAATATCTAAGTGAATTTGAATATATTTGAATATTATTGCAAAAACAATCAACAATCTTGTAAATATTGGCATTTGAATTTTAATTTTTCATTTCACATGTAGGAATATTTATATGGCAGAAGCGGTAATCCCACGCGTAACGTTCTGGAGACATGCCTGGCTGCTTTAGAGAATGGCAAACATGCCTTTTGTTTCTCTTCTGGATTAGGTACCCTTACTGCTATTACAGGTTTATTGAAGGCAGGAGATCATTTGATTGTCGGAGATGATCTTTACGGTGGAACCAACAATTACATCCGGAAATTTAGTAGCAGACAGTAGTTACATCCGGAAATGTAGTAGCAGACAGAGCATGACATATACCTTCGTTGATATGACTGATATACAAAATGTTATAGATGCCATACAGCCAAATACAAAGGTAAATAAAAAACCTAAAAATACTAGTGTTATATTTACACTTACCTTGTATTAGAATTTAATATTTTGTATTTTAAATATTACGTTTTTTATATCATATCAGCATTTTCTGAATTACCTAGAATTTGTTCTATTGTAGATGATATGGTTTGAGACGCCGACAAATCCTCTGCTGAAACTGACAGATATAAAGGCTGTTGCTGAAAGTCTAAAATCTCGTCCAGACATTATACTAGTAGTTGATAATACATTTTTGACATGTTACTTTCAAGTAAGTTTGGCATAAATTCGAGAAAAATCACATTCAATCGTATGATGCCAATGTGATAGAAACTGCATATTATGCTTTTAATATAGAAACCTCTTGATCTTGGTGCCGATATAGTGATGTATTCATTGACAAAGTATATGAATGGCCATACGGATGTGATTATGGGTGCCGCTATAACGCGCCGGGACGATCTCGCGCAGAAATTGCGGTCCAACCAAATTGGTAAATGAACAAGAGCTTTTCCGAGCATGCATTTGAACACTTTATATAACATTTTGTTCTTCAATTTAGTCATGGGAATTGTTCCATCACCATTTGATTGTGCCTTAGTCAATCGTAGCTTGAAAACGCTCGAACTAAGAATGCAGAAACATATGAAAAATGGATTAGCCGTAGCTATGTTTCTCGATTCTCATCCTAACGTCGAGAAAGTGATTCATCCACGTACGTAACCGTAGAATTTTTTATTCTTCTTATTCTGTATAATGTTTTTAAAAAAGAAGCATATATAATTAATGTCTGAATAATTAATACAACAATAAAGTGTTTACAATAAAATACACGTGTTGTAACATTGCAGTTCTCTCATCACATCCGCAACATCAGCTTGCACTTACACAACAAACAGGGCACAGCGGAATGGTTTCTTTCTATCTGAAAGGCGATTCTAAGCGCTTTTTGCGAGCATTGAAAGTTGTCATTTTAGCTGGATCCTTAGGCGGTTTAGAATCGCTAGCCGAATTACCGTAAGTATTATATATTTAAGTAATGTATATATTTAAAAATATAGTTTGAACCAATTTGTCTCATTTTAGAATTTTAATATCGCACGAGTCCGTGCCAGAAGATATGAGAGCAAAGTTGGGCATAACCGATCGATTAATTCGATTATCTGTTGGCCTTGAAACCGAAGACGATCTCATAGCTGATCTCAAACAAGCATTAAACGCTTGTTAATGAATTAACGAATTTAATCAGGTAGCCGGAAAAGTAATTCAATAACCGGTGTTCTATAATTTGTACTAATTATCTTATAAATAATATCAAACTTCCATTGCCAAATCTTTATAGAACGTCGCTATCAATAGCTACAAAGAAATTTTATTTTTCGTTCTTTTATACATTTTACGGTTCTTTTTTATACATTTACGTTAGGAATACTTGTATAATACAGTAATCAGATACTTTTTAACACACATACGATCACTCGTCCCGATTCCTGTTGGTTTACCATATCTGTCAGGCATTTCTGAATATGTAAATAAATGTATTTTCTAATTCAGAAATAAAATAAATTACAACAATAAACGACTACATAACGGGCTCAAATAATTTAGAAAAAATAATAAATATACGTATAAATATAAGTGCTATGAGTCAAACGAGGTGTTTGATGATCGCGTCCTACTTTTCTTTCATTCTACGATCGCGACTACTTTTAAGCAGGATAGTCCAGCGCCGCCCAAAGTAAGTACCAAACGTCTGATTCATCAAGATTCATCCATATAGCTCCTAGTAATTACTCCTTGTTATTCAATCAATGTCAATTGTACCCAACAAAAATTATATTAAGTTTCTATAGCTATTAACCCGTTCGCTGACACGTTCATTTCCACAATTTGTGCCCTGGTGCGCAGAAAAAAGTTTTGAATTTTTTTTTCGCACTTGTGTATATATATATATATATATAGAGGTTTTTTAGAGCGCTGATTCCGATTTTGAAAAATTCAAAATAGCAGTTCCAATATGGCGGACCTCAGTTTGAAAAAATTCACATTCTTGTTAAAATGTTTTGAAATTTGACTTATGGGGGTTTTCGAGGGTGCTGACACACACTCACACCATTTTCTAACGAATTCATTTTATTTTATAGCTAAACAGTGAGTATAAGTGAGTATAACGTATAGAAAAATAATATATATATATATATATTATTTTTATTGAGAAGATATTTCCGTATTTTGAATTTTACAATTCTGACTTCAGAATCGAAATCAGCATTCTCGAAAACCCTCGTAAGCCAATTTTAAAAACGTTCTGATAAGAATTTAGATTTTTTTTTATTTCATCCGCCATATTGAATTCGCCATTTTGAATTTTATATTTTTGACTTCAAAATCGGAATCAGCGATCCCAAAAATCCTCGTATACCTAGTTTGAATCAAATTTGTTCATTCATTTCGAAGAAAAAGCACTTTGACGTCATATGGCGTCTCTTAGGCTGTGGTCCACTTGACGCTACAAACGAAACGTTTGAGCGACCAATCAGAACAAAGAATTTTACGAATTGACTAATCAAAGAATGCTGCGAAGCGTTTGTAGCGTCAAGTGGACCGCAGCCTTAAAAAAAGGTCTGTTCTTTTTGGCTGAACTTTTGCACCAGTTCATCTTTCTTCCTTTTCTCATCAGGAGGAAAAAAGAGAAAGAAAGATGAACTGATGCAAAAGTTCAGTAAAAAAGAACAGACCAACGCCCCACCAGAGAACAGAATACTTTGTCCTTTTTCTCCTTTATCGGCCACGCGGCTGCAACGTTGCAAGTTATTTAAGTAGCTCGTCGATCAGGTTACTTCAGTCGACTTCACTTTCAATATACGTTCGACGGTGTCAACATTAAAGTGAGTGACTCGCTAATGACTCTCTTAAGTAAATTCTAGTTAATTCGGCACCTGATAAGGCTATTTCATCACTTGAATTTCTCACTGCCAAGAATTTCTTTAATCAGCTACATTTTTTGCAACGGAGCCGGGCATCCGAACAGGTCCGAACGAGATGATTGCAGAAAGTGTAGCTGAGGAGGATCTCGAACAGAATGCCCTTGCAAATTTAAATTTCACGAATGTTATTCAGAACGCTCCGGAGTGCTCAAAAAAAAAAAAAAACTACTGCTCTTTCTTTTCTTAACGTATAAATAACGAGACAAGATTTTGTCTCCTAATTTGCAGTTGACAATTTTAATTTTTCGAAAATTTTTCGCGTCTCACTTTTTACGTCACGTAAATGTGTTATCTCTTAAGTCGCAAGTTGTTATCGTACGTGCTGTTCAGTGTAAATAGATTGTGTTAGAATTATGTTAATTTTAATTAATTAGTATCTATTTCTTACGTTGGATGAAAAACTGAATACGCACGGTAACAATTTAACTTGCGTTTAAAACGACATAAATAAGAAATAACATAAAAAGTAAGACGCAATAAATCTACGATAAAAATTTAAAAATTAAAATTACGCACGCCAAATGTTATTATTATATTATTGTTACTAATAAATATTTTATTAGTAAAAAAAATCGTTCAACGATATAGATACAACTCCTGTTTAGGGGATATATATGTTTAGGTGGTTTAGATCAAAGTGACATACTGGGACCCTTAACAGAAATATTGTTTCACCAAACAATATTTCTATTAATTACAACATATTAATAATAAATAATAATTTTAATTAATATTCGCAGAACATTTTTTTACTGAATAAACAATGGCTTCAAGGGAAAAAGGTTTCGCAACGATAGCTATCCATGCCGGGCAAGATCCTGATCAGTGGAATCATTGCTCAGTTGTACCACCTATGGTGATGTCGACTACTTTTAAGCAGGATAGTCCAGCACCACCAAGAGTAAGTACTAAACGTCTGACTCATCAAGATTCATCCATATATAGCTCCTAATAATCACTCCTTGTTATTCAATCAATGTTAATTGTACCTATCAAAAATTGTATCAAGTTTCTGTAGCTATTAATAAAGTTAAAGTTATATACAAGCTATGAAAATAGACTATTTTTTTTATAAATTAATTTATATTACTTTCTGTCAAAAAATTAAAATAAATAAGTAAAAAATGAAACAGATAAACAGATAAATGAAGTAGATGAGAAACAGGTAAATGAAACAGATAAGAAACGGATAAATGAAACAGATAATAATTAAATAGAAAAAGGAATGAATTAGTAAGAAAATTACTTTAATAGTTAAATGAATGGCGATTTAATGAAAAAAATGCGAGCCAAATGTGTCATTGTCGAAGCAAATATATATTTCTGTATACTATGAGCATTTTGTATAATTTTAAAAAATATTGGCTTTTTTTTATTAAACTGAGGAACAAATAAACAAGCAATAACATATTAAACTACTTGTGAATAATACAAATAAAGGAGCAGCAAGTACGGTCTAGATTGCATCTCCGTGTCTAATAATATTTTTGTGTGAATTATTAAATAATTTTCCGGTTCTACAATTTAAATCTACGGTTCAAAGGTCGAACAACAATTCACGAAAGTCAATAACAATTCGCGGAGGTCAAATAACAATTCGATTGCATCCGTTTATCTTATCTTTACTTCCACAGAATCCTTTAGAAAGAATACGTAAAAGCTTTATTCTTTTGAATATAATTGAAAAATACTTTTAAGTACTTTTTGATTAAAAATAGTATTTGTAAGTGTGTTACATTGCTATTGTTAAATTATTCAAGTGAATTTGAATATATTTGAATATTATTGCAAAAAATCAACAATCTTGTATAATGGCTTTAACTTTCATTATTTCATTTTATATGTAGGAATATGTATATGGCAGAAGTGGCAATCCTACGCGTAATGTTTTGGAAACGTGTCTGGCTGCTTTAGAAAATGCCAAACATGCCTTTTGCTTCTCTTCTGGATTAGGTACTCTTACTGCTATTGCAGGTTTATTAGAGGCAGGAGATCATTTGATTGTCGGAGATGATCTTTATGGTGGTACCAATCGTTACATCCAGAAATGTAGTAGCAAACAAGGTGTGCAACATACCTTCGTTGACATGACTGATGTACAAAATGTTAAAGATGCCATACAGCCAAATACAAAGGTAAATAAAAAAACTAAAAATGTTGTTATTTACGCTTTGTTTTAGAATTTAATATTTTGTATTTTAAATATTGTTTTTTAATATCATATTAGTATTTTCTGTATTATAATTCATTCTGTTGTAGATGGTATGGCTAGAGACGCCGACAAATCCTTTGATGAAACTGATAGATATAAAGGCTGTTGCTGAAAGTCTGAAATCTCGTCCAGACATTATACTAGTCGTTGATAATACATTTTTGACATGTTATTATCAAGTAAGTTCGACAAATTTAAGAGAAATTATATTCAATCGATGAATGTGAAAGAAACTGTAACCAATATATTATGCTTGTAAAATAGAGACCTCTTGACCTTGGTGCCGATATATCGATGTATTCATTGACAAAGTATATGAATGGCCATTCGGACGTCATTATGGGTGCCGCTATAACGCGCCGGAGCGATCTCGGACAGAGATTGCAGTTCAATCAAAATGGTAAATCAACAAGCTTTTTCGAATCATGCACATTTAAAGATTTTATATAATATTTTCTTTTTCGATTTAGCCATGGGAATTGTTCCATCGCCATTTGACTGTGCCTTAGTCAATCGTAGCTTGAAAACGCTCGAACTAAGAATGCAGAAACACATGAAAAGTGGCTTTGCCGTAGCTATGTTTCTCCAGTCTCATCCTTGCGTCGAGAAAGTGCTTCATCCACGTACGTAACCGTACAATGTTTTGTTCTCCTTATCTTATATGTTTTTAAAATGTTTTTTAAATACAAGCATATATAAAATTAATAATCTGAATAATCAATATGACGATAAAATATTTGTAAGATGAAATACACGTGTTGTTACATTGCAGTTCTCCCGTCGCATCCACAGCATCAGCTCGCGCTTACACAACAAACAGGACACAGTGGAATGGTTTCTTTCTATCTGAAAGGCGATTCTAATCGCTTTTTGCAAGCATTGAAGATTTTCACTTTAGCTGAATCCTTAGGCGGTTACGAATCGCTAGCCGAGTTACCGTAAGTATATTCGAGAAATACGAGTATGTATTTAAAAAAATATTTTTAATCTATTCTTCTCATTTAGATCCGTAATGACGCACGCGTCCGTGCCGGAAGATATGCGAGCAAAATTAGGCATAACTGATCAATTGATTCGATTATCTGTTGGCCTTGAATCCGAAGAAGACCTTATAGCCGATCTCGAACAAGCACTAAGCGCTTGTTAATAAATTAACAAATTTAATTAGGTAGCCGCAAAAGTAATTCAATAGCAAGTATTCTAATATATACTAATTATCTTATAAATAATATCAAATCTCTACATTGTCATAAATCTTTGTAGAACATTGCCAGCGATATCAGTATACAAAGAAATTTTATTTTTATAAAATTCTTTTATACATTCCACAATTCTCACATTTACATTAGGAACACTTGTATAATACAGCAATCAGATATTTTTTAACACATATGTTTACTCGCCCCGATTTCTTTTGGTTTACCATACCTGTCAGACATTTCTGAATGTGCAAATAAATGTATTTTTAAGTTCACAAATAAATTAAATTACATTTAATAGCGGTATTTAGTTATTAATGGTTTACATTACAAATTGCAAACGAGAGATCAAACTAATTGCTCTTAACGTATCACAAAAATTCACTAGAAATTATTAAATTCAAAAAACAATAATTTTTATTGATTGTCCTTCGTCTTAATCTTATAAATACGTACTATCTTTGCGTTTCCACTGAACAGAATACTGTTGTATAAGAAAATGAGTATCATTTGTACTCCCAACTCCTAATGCAATACATTCAGTGCAGTGACACACATATTCTCTTGCCATACACATGAAATCTTTGTAGACTGGAAAATTGTTCTATTGCAAATTGATCTTCGACGAGTATCGTATTCTCTTTGTTCTATTCATCCTGTCGTATTCCTGCGCCCGATTGTACAACAATACTCCTACTATAACTGAGGAAGTGCCGAGGGCCGATAATCCCGTCACAGGATTGTTAAATAATAGAACGGACAGCCATATTAGGAAAGCTCTCTTTGCAGTGTTAGCAACACTACACATCAATATAATGTACTTTAGAATCAAGCGGAGAATACAGTTTACATACTCAATAGACCATTACATACCTGTGTGTCACGGGACTGATATAGTCCATAAGTACATAAGCGGTAATACTTTGAAAATGGAAGAATACTCCGTTGAGAAGGAATGAAAACTCAGGGAATGCTCCAGAGTAGGTAAATCGACTAACAGTATCGATACTGGTATTTGTACCACAATTGACGCTAGACTGGTATAAAATTGTAATTCCGCTGGCCTACAAAAATAGAACATTCTTTTCTCCATTTTACAATGTTACGCACACTCGTACGAATTACTTACGTATATTTAAAATTGTCACCGCTGATCAGCATTTTAGAGTAAACATTTTGCAAACATTCTGTTACATTTGTAGCCATAGCGGCGATGAATCCTCTAAGATCAAAACTAATTTCATTGATGGAACACAGGGCCAATCCACCCATTACAGGTATTAAAGATAAATTTACATATAATCCTGTATGTTCCCCTAAAAATATAATCAGTTGATATAAAAAGTTCCGCTATATAAATCTCAACTAATTTTATCAAAAATTGAAATTCTTTATCATAAATTATATTAGATACAAAGATATGTATACACTAAAAACTCACCTAATAAATACCTGCTGATGAGGACGGTGAAAAGAGGTGCACTACTTTTTATGGTTTCTGTGAAACTTACAGCTACATAATTTAATGATACTAGACCTAAGACTACCGTGGCGAACCTTGTGCAGCCTACGAGTGTCATGTGCTTGTAAAATCCTGGAGGTCTCATTAACCTTGGACTGGCTTTGTACATACCACAGGGAAAGTACATTTGTATCAATCCACAAATTGCGGTCATCAACATTTGACAAGCACCTGCGATTCAAAATAAGTATTTATAAAAAGATATTGTACATGCAACGTAAAAGAAAAGCTATGATACTAATGGCTGACATCAGATATTTGATATTAATGTTTTAAGGAGGTTCCTAATCAATAGACAGTTTATTCATAATAATATATAATACAATTAAAATAATAGAATAAAAAGGTTACTAACAATATCTTATGCCATTATACATAATTATTGTTAATTTTATATGTTACTAAATATTTTCAAAATGACAAAATAAAAGTTGTAAGATGCTCATTTGATGTATACATATCATCTATTTGACATATATTCTAGCTTTTTTCATTGAAGAATATAAATTTCTATACGATCAGTTTAAATGAAACTTCACGAGACCAAACTTAAGTGTTTACTTTATAATTACAACGATTTTTAAATTGCTGTCTATATGCAAGTGTCTCAATTTAAAAAAGAATAACTATAGATAAAGTTGTACCTTCAACTTGTAATGTAAAATTCTATAAATTTAGAATTAAATATCTTCAAAATGGTATGATAAAAGTCAATGAAATTTTTTCTAGATATTATTGATATTATTAACTTTTGCATTACATGTATATTATAGACTTGTCTTATATTTCATCAAACGTGAGAACCTCCTTAATATTAATATCGTACCGATAAAAGATACTATGAAGATTTTCTAGAAAGAGACATAGTTAACGCAGTGAATCATTTCAGTATTGTTATTTATCAATGTTAAACAAAGCTGAAATGATTCACTGTGTTAGGATTTAGGATAGTTGTGTTTATTACAAAATGTTTATTTTGTAATTGTTGGAAGTTTTCTTCATGCTGACTGGATTATACTTTTTTAAATTAAGAAGAATAATCCTATCTCAATGAAAAAAGAAAACCAACAAATATAAAAAGTGCTTTTCATTTGACAAATTGATATAAACATTTCTTTCTTGACATTTATTAGGCTTATTCTTTTTAACTAAATTTCTTGCATGGTCTTTTCTCTTTTTCTTTTAACATTAAAGAAAAAAAGAGAAAAGAGAGTATACAAGAAGTTTAACTAAAAAGAACAGAACTAGTGATAGACAGAAAGACGGAATGACTTGTATCGACTTGTCACTAAATGGAAAACACTCAAAATAAATATTTTGCTAAATCTTAGTTTAGTAACACAAGTCAATACAAATACTCCGTCTTTCTTTATATTCCATGAGTAACAAAAATGATATTTGTGCTGACTTGTGTCATTAAATAGAAGACATTCTCTGATGACTCATTATGAACTTAGCATTTTTACACAGAAATAGCTGTATTCAATGAGGTTGCTTTTAGATAATAGATAAGGCTGCAAAATAATCATCTGCTTACCCAATATCGTGGGATCACCCTCCATGTAGGACAGTATGTATTTGTTCAGAAACAGTGTACATCCACTGAAGACATACCACAGGGTGAGAAAGAGGAGAGCTCTGGAATTAAACAGACCGCCCTTCGTGTCGCTCGTCAGAACGATCACGTCCTCTCGTTTTTTGACGTGATCCGCGTGCTGCTTCGGTTGGGCGTCGTGGAATGCGGGCGACTCATCGGCAGCATCTCCACGGGCGGCCTGCGGATTGATGCGTACGGAGTAGTTCTCCATCTCTCGTCCGCTTCCTTCCTCTGCAGTCCTCGCGTGAACGCGAGACTCGCCGCGGGTTGCGAGACGCGAGATATCACATTTTTCACGCAGCTTGGAGAAACTTTTCCGCCCTTGGCGCTCTCGTGAGTTAGGTTAAGTTAGGTCGATGTTCACGTTGATCAGATCGCGCCACGGTTTTTCAACGTCAGCAATCGGCCGAACCGGTCACGGTCGACCGGTGTTCGTCGTTGTCCCCGTTTTCGCATGACAATCGTTTCTTCTTTCTTTGTTTATGTTTCCTTCTTCTTTTCACAAGTATCCACACTTCTCGAGACACAGGACATACCCAGATAACAAAATGCCCGCACAATGATCGCATGGTGCGCGCACACCGCACACGTGCAAGTACTCGCACGCATGTGACCGATTGTGATCCTCATACGCACGCAGATGTGTCCTCATTTGAGACTCATGTCGCTCGCACGCGTGCCGACACTAGTTTAATATTAAAAAAAAAAAAAATTTATATTTGAGGCTTACAAAGGACTATGCCCAGTTGGGCCCCGATTGAACAGCATTGAGACATGAAGTTTGTCGCGTCGCATGCTCCAACATGTTCCAACATGCTCCTACCATAGCTCCTACTCACTCCAACGCGTTTGGTAGAGTTAGGCGTCGTCTACAATATGCGAAGTAAGCTTGGTTTAAGAAATCAGAGTAAAAAATTGACCAATCACAGTCGATTATTCTTCTCACATTCGACTCTGATTGGTCAATTTCTTACTCTTACACGCATTCTACAATAAGTCATTAATCATAAATCAGAAGTTAGAAGTTGGAAATTGACCAATCACAATCGTCAATGGTCGCGTTCAGCAGACTCAACTGTTGTGGAGCGGATCCGTGAGCGCTCACTGCTATTGGTGTATTCTTTTAGATCATCCAATAGCAGCGAGAGCTCATTGATCCGCTCCGCAACAGTTGA